CCATATATGCTTATTTTTTTTATTAATTTTATAAACTAATAATAAAGGAAACATTCTTTACAAAATGGTAATCGTTATTCTTATTAAAGAATATCTAANAAGGGGGAAGATAAACGTTATTCTAATCAAATTCATTACATTTTAAATGGAAAATATATCTTAATAAATATATTTGATAATTTATTAAAACATTTAAATTATGTTTTAATATATTTACGAAATTAATTTAAATATATTACGATTTTATGAGGATGATCATTTTTTTTGATTTTTATAAACGGATACTTATGTATTTATTTTTCTTAATTAAAATTACTTATTTAAATTAATTTAATTAAATTAATCAATTTTTAAAATATTTAAAAAATAATTGATTGAGTGAAAGTGTAGAATTTTCTGTTATTCATCTTTAAAAAAAGTCCCTGTAAATTTATTGTAATTATTTAAAAATATGTCTAAGCTATAAAATATTGAAAACATTTCTGTGCTTTAATTAACTAGAAAGAAATTTTGCTCTTTTTTTCATATTTTTTTAAAGAAAAAAAGGAGAAAGTATCGTAATTCTTATACAGATCATCTCTCAATACTTTGATCGGGCGATCCGCTTCAACAAAGTCGATAAGTTAGCGTTATGTGTTATGGTCTGTACAACTATCAGACTTAACATCAGCATCACGTCTGATAATAAAAAAACAACGAAGCCGTAAAGTTAGAACTTTTCGTCGCTTGATGTAACTTATCGTCTCTAACTTACCATAAATATATCGGCAAGACGGGATCCTGGTTTACGTGAAATTGCTGAGAATGGAAGTTTCTTAAAGGGGAAAAAATCTTTCAACTGGCTTCCGTTATTTAGTATATTTTTATAAGCTCTTTTTTTTCATAAAAACCAATTCTGTACATGTTGAAAGTTATATATGTTTGTTAAATATTGGCAATAAAATTTAAGTCTTGTTTTTTTCTTTATAATAAATAAAGAATTTTAAGGTTTTTTCCAGTTTTTTTATGTTAATTTTAGTTAAAAAGTAATGTTAAAATATAGAAGTTTTTCCTCCTCCTTTTTTTCCGATGATTTTATGCATACAAATGAATATGCTATTCAAAAATGAAACCTTCTGGGTACAATGCCAAACGTTATAAAACTGAAAAAAAAATTTAATTTAGGAAAGACTTCACTATTTTAAAATTTAATTTTGTAAAGAGAAACTGCTTTACAAAGCATCCATATATGCTTATTTTTTTTATTAATTTTATAAACTAATAATAAAGGAAACATTCTTTACAAAATGGTAATCGTTATTCTTATTAAAGAATATCTAAAATTGAAATATGATTGAAAGTTCTCATCATCACAATAAGAAATATAGGTCAGAAAAAAATCAATAATAATTATCCATAAGAAGAAAAAATGAATCATTATTTGTTATTTTGAAAAAGAAAATATGAATTGATCGAAGTTGAAATGCCCACGATGGCTCTTGAAATGAATTTTACTCTATGATAATTTATTCATAAGTAAAATAGTTTATTCATAAATCATATGTTTCGATTTTGTTTTTTTCTAATAATAATTAGATGTCCTGGAATGACCCTATGAAAAGTTTCTGCAACTCGGTCTCGTCATGCAGCAATCGTGCTTGACTGATCTCTTCCTTTATGTTAAACAGAAAGGGGTGGCACCCACGGCTAAGTGGCGTCTGTATAGTCAAACTCGATTTCTAGTTATACTTGCCCACTATCGTCCCCCACTCGCTAAATAACAAGTAGAAATGCCCTCTTGGCGTGATGTCGGTACCCCTTCGCTAAGTGACATTCCTAGTCGTTGGGCCATTAATCAATTTTGTTTACAGCTTGCCCACTGTAGTCCTGACAGCAGAGCCCGATCATAAACCAGCACAAAAGATTGCATGCTTGGGTACACACCACGTACAATCATACTCTCTGTTACTGAACCTGGTCAAAATAGTGGCTCACGCATGCCTACGAGATTAAGCGACTAAAATGTTACTCACGCGACATTTTTTACCCTTAAAGTCTGCTGGCGTGACGATCGTAAACTTTTGACTACCTCCCACCTGTTCTGGAGACACCTGCACCCACTTCAGCTTGCTATTTTCGTTCTGATTGGTTACTACGCGCTGCGTGACTATTGTAGTATCATTCTTATATCCTGTCCCTTTTACAATACTCCACCCACCCATATGAGGTAGATAATAATTTGTTATGATAGGTAGGCTACATTACGTAGATCTGACTACATGCGGTACGCCTTGGTACAAAGGTAATCACTCTTTTCATTCATTACAAACACTTATATTATTATTAATTGAGGGTAGTTCTAAGTAATAGCTGCTACCTCATGTTCCCAGAAAGAATATAAATTATCATTAATCTCTTGAAGGTTATCAATAAATGTGATAATTAAATATAAAACCATTAATGATTGATTTTTTACAAATTTCAATACCGCTAGCTCAATGAGCGTTCTAATTACTAGATAACTTTTAAGATGATTTGCAAAGTTAATTGCTCGATTCTTTTGTGAGAGGGCCACACAGTTTGTTGGCGCCATTTTCTAAGAGAGGTCCTATTGTTGAGATTAGGAGAGAAAGTCAAGTAGGTCAGGATAATCCATCAAAGTTCTGTGCTTATTTGTAGGTTCACCCTAGAACCCTCTTTTTACCCGAGGGATGACTTTATTCCACCTTTACTAGACCTTAGACACTCATTCCCACCATCAAGGTTATTCTTCACCCATGGTTCCACCCATTGACTGCAAAGAACTATTTTACTAAAAATATTTTAAAATTAGTGCAACATAACCTATAATAAACAAAACCACGTTGATCGTGAAGTTTTGAAAGGTCAAGCAAACCAGATCACTCATAAATACATGTTCAGATTGAAAAATAGAGGTAAGTACAGTACGTGGATCTCCTATAAATCTACAAGAAATAATTTAATATCCAAAATATAAATTTTACTAAACGAGCATAAAATACAAAAAATAAAATAAAAAGCAAAATTTTTATTTATTATTTTAAAAAATTTTTATGAATATAGATTTTCAATGCATTTTGAGATAAATTAATTTAAAAGTTGTTAACACCATTACAATTTTACAATGCCTATGTTATAAATATAGATAATTCATAAGAATGTTAGATATTTAAACAAAAGAAGAAGAAAAACCTTTGTAATTTATGAATGTCTGTTGTTCGTGATGAGGTTTTTTATTAATAAAAACGCATTCTTGATGTCAATGTTTGGCTATTGATCAAGAAAGGTTTACAAGTAATGAAATCTCTCTAGATTGTTCCCATTAATTTAATGCTTTTCCAATAAAATAACGTAAGAGAATTTCCTACTATTATTGACCAAATGTTATTGTGATATAGCTATCGCGTGATTAAGTTGAAATTTTTAAATTTCAACCGTTGAAATATGGATATATAACGTGATCGGTTGCGTTTGAATATTCATATATCTATTAACTAATGAAATAAACCCATATCAATCGTGTGACTAAGTGATATTTATATTTTAATATGTTCAATATTTGACAAATAGAAAATCACGCGATACTAACAAGATTATATATTTTTTAAAATTTTTTCGATAAATTAATTTTAAAAATAAACTATCGTAAATATAGAGTCACGAATTGGATATATCTTAAACATTTTTTTCCCTTGTAGATAAACACTTAACTCATATTTCTGTTGAATGGAACGATTTTTCAAAGAAATAAAATGACCTATAAACAAAAGCATATCTTTTTTCTTAAAATATTGCTATAATATAGCATAAGTTTACTATTTCGAAGCAGTAGACAATCGTAGAATATTAAAAAGAATAGAGAAAATCACCCTTCCACGCAAATTTCGTGTACAGTCACGCGAAACAAGTAATATTTGACACATGGACCCGTAGCGTGTCGAAAATATTTAACATTAGTTTAATCCTCGAGACGATGACAAGATTTGTAATTTTGTCATCCGATAAGTAGATTGTTACATAGAGAAGCATACAATTTACATTCCCTATTATGATTTTTAAATTAAATATTTAAAAGATTAAAAGAATTTTGACACAGTTTGCTTAGTTAATTTAGATAATCTGATCAGGAGGGAAAAAGAAACTTGGCGACGTTTTTGATAATTGCACTTTTAATGATCGGACTTTATACGATCTTATGAAAGAATTAATTTGTAATTTAAAAGCTAGAAAAATATTTTTCCATCTAAAAATTTCGACAACTTCTCTTTCGTTCACCTGCTAAACTTACTTCTTTTGATTAATTATCCCGGATAATCTCTTTTAACTTAGAGAGAGCATTTACGAGTAACGTTTGTAATGTGGAAATGTGTAACCATTTATAAATGTCCGAATTATCGTGACGTGAGTTTAACCATAACGTGACTTTTAAACATTATGAAACAGAATAAATTCCCGTTGCTTCGCTTCTTCATATTTAAATAACTTTTGATATGAATAATAACGCTTTAAAATATAATTTAAAAGAAACCACAAAAAAACTATGTATTTCCATTATGNTATAGATATTCTTCTGAGAAAACTTTATTTAATTATGCTTAGACAAAGTTAGAAGTTTCAAATAAAATACATTCTTTGAGTTATAAATTAGCCATTTTTTTAAATTGTACTTTCTCAATATTATGAAAACATATTTAACCATTTGCAATTCTAGTAATTTCTGCATTTTAGATAAATAGAAAAGGAAACCCAGAATAGAGTAAATAGAAGAATCAAAGAGGATTATTAATGCAGTCAGATATCCATTAATGTAATGAAAATCCGAAAGGTTCTAAGCTTTACTACTTGTTTATTTTTCCTTTCACGTCTGCCTGTCCTCAGGAAAGAAGAATCCAAATGGGGGTTATCTTCTGCCGATAATCTAATAACGATTTATGAAGAATTTTTACAAGAAAGAAAATCCGAAGAAATCCGTAATAAAATTAATGATTAGTTTACAAAATCTAAATCAATTTACTTAATTTACATTAAAATAACAGATTTTTGTCTGTTTTATATCATTTCAAACGAATTGTTTAACGAAAGAAATCCGATCAACAGTGTTTGTTATCATAATACGAGTAGATAAGAAGTATTTGAACAGAAAATCAATTATATTTAATTTGAAGAGATAAAAGAAGACGAAAATAATGCGTTTTTTAAACAAGTGTACTTGATTTAATTTCTATTTATGCAATATATAATTGAAAGCATAATTACAGTTAGGCTTGTGCCTAATGTAAACTTATTATACTTAATACAATATTACTAAATAAAGAGGTTTATAAAGCCTCTTTATTAATATTAAGTCTAATTATTGTTTAGTAATTATAATTAGACTTGAAGTAATAGTTATTAACATTAAATCTAATAACGATTACTAAAGTCTAATTATAATTACTAAATGTAACATATAATATACACTTAAATTAATAACATAACTATTACTACTAATAATTACTAACAACTATACAATATTTTTTAGTAATATTTAAATCTAGTTATTGATTAACAAGTTAATTATAATATATTATACATATATAAATCTGATACACCCTGTTACTGGAGAGGTTCAGCAGTAACTCCTGATACTCAGGATACTCAGTTAATTGCTCAGGATACACCTTGATACTCAGGATAATTATTTGCTTGGTTGCTGAGTAACTCCTGATACTCAGGAGTTAAGCAATTAGAAATATTAGAATCTACATTTTGTAAACAATATATTCTACTGATAATTTTACATTTTTTAGTTATTTTCATACAAATTTTTAAATTACATCTTCCTTTACAATTTTAATTACAAAATTATATAAACTGTACAATTCCTTCTTTGAAAATGTATTTAAATTTTCTCTAAAGTCTTAGGTTAAGCTTTGATAGATTATATTGGTATTCCAAATGATTATCGTTTAACAAGTTAATTATTAGAATTCATCTTATAATATAAACATGTATACAGGTATACCTCGCCTTACGTCGGTAATTGGTTCCAGGAAAACGACGTAAGTCGAATTTACTTGTCTCCGAATTTACTTATCACTAGGCTAAACCGTAAATTACCATTCCCGGTTCTGTATTTTATTTATTAATGCATTTTTAATAATATATGGTTAATAAAAATCTATTTTAAGCTTACAAACAAATAAATTTTAGTTTTTAATATAGTACAAAAAAAGTAATCTAAATTTACGAATGCATGTACTGTAAATACAGTACATACTTGTATATATTTTAATATGATTTTATGTGCTTTAAACGTTTATCTAGTGATATTACGACTTCAATATTTGTGGCGGACAGACGTANGTGATATTACGACTTCAGTATTTGTGGCGGACAGACGTAAAGTCGAATAAAATGACTTAAACTTGGTTTTTATTTTTTTATATACTTTTTTAACAAGCGACGTATAATCGGGAACGACGTAACTCAAAACGACGTAAGTCGAGGTATGCCTGTATATAATTTAATAATGTGACATAATATATATATTAAATATTTATTTTGTTCTATTTGTTAAATTATTTGTGTATTTGTAAATACTAAAAATAATGAAGAATGTAGAATTTAAATATAGAAAATGAATCTTTACAAATTGCCCTAGCATATTAATTTGTATGCTATGTAAATTATTGATAGATTTTTTTAATTTTTAATTAACTTTCTAGAAAGTTTGGCAACATACATTTCTTATTATGTATGATATAATTGACATTCGTGTTAAGACTTAGTTGCTTCTATTAAATAATTAATTATAAAATATTCTAAAAGTAGAAAGTTATTTGACAAGCTACAAATTTGAAATGATATTGTTTTTTATATTTAGAAGTAGGAAAAGTTCCAAAATAATGATTTATAGTTATAGAATAATAGTTCATAATTTACATTTCAGTAGAAGTTATAGATTTTTGAGTTTTAACGGTCGTATTGGCATTAGTCCAAAGGGTTACAGTAAAACACTACATAACATTTGCTGTTCTGTCATATTATGTCAGCCATAAGAAACGTTGAAAGAAACAATATATATAACCACACATTTTTTAGTTTTTAAATTATTAGTAAATGTCATAATGTCATTGATTTCTTTACAAACTTATATCTCGACATCATTATATGCCAAGATCTAAGTTTGTAAAGAAATTAAGTAACTTCTTAAGATTTTTTTTCTTATTTTATAGATATTCTTCTGAGAAAACTTTATTTAATTATGCTTAGACAAAGTTAGAAGTTTCAAATAAAATACATTCTTTGAGTTATAAATTAGCCATTTTTTTAAATTGTACTTTCTCAATATTATGAAAACATATTTAACCATTTGCAATTCTAGTAATTTCTGCATTTTAGATAAATAGAAAAGGAAACCCAGAATAGAGTAAATAGAAGAATCAAAGAGGATTATTAATGCAGTCAGATATCCATTAATGTAATGAAAATCCGAAAGGTTCTAAGCTTTACTACTTGTTTATTTTTCCTTTCACGTCTGCCTGTCCTCAGGAAAGAAGAATCCAAATGGTGAAAATAACGATTCCGAACTCAAATATCTAGTTTATAATTTATATTTTAGATGCCGATAATTGATTTTATTATTTTTATTTATATAAAAATTGTAATTTTAATCAGTAATAAACTTTTAGTACAAATAATTATTATATGAATACTAACGTAGGATATTTGCAGTGAGAATATTCTAAAATAGAATGTTCAACTATAAATATTAAAGAAAAAATACATTAAATATCTTTATTTAAAAGTAAAATATTTAATGGACTAATATAAAAAATGAATACTAATTTATCATTAAACTAGAGATTATGAGAAAATATTTTTGTATGTTTCAAATGTAAATTAGAAAACTGATCATTTAAAGAACTTGTATAAATCATTAATTAAAATGAGCTATGATTTTCTTACATTTTGGACGACATATTTCAAAAATAATTTAGAATAATTTTCAGATTTGAGTCAACTTATTTGCATTTGGAGAAAATAATTAATTCTTATTTTTATAATTTACGTAGGCAATGATTATTAAATATGATTAACCATTCAACTATAATGATATTTTTATCACTTAGTTCTATTTTTAATTTTAAAAAAGAAGATACTTATTCTCATATGGTATCATGATATACGATACCTATTATTATAAGAAGAAAATCATTTAAATACTTTCTTTTAATAACCAGCGTGACTTTATTATGAATGATAATTGATCCTTTTAATAGAGTGGATCATTACGTTTTCCTAATAATCTATTGCTTGAAGAAAATCAGAATTTCCCTGACTAATTAATAACCCCGGAGCAAACATTGCTATATGATTTCTGAAATTGAATGCAAGACATCCTTTCGATGAGAATATTGGAACACTTAATGATTTCAGCAGAAAATTCATGTTTTAATATTGAATCGAATACCCAAACCACTCGACTATCTGCTAAAAGGCAAGGTCTCTGATGAGCAACAATATCGAACTGGCTATCTTCATTAACTGTTATCGTTCAGATAATCAAATGGGTGTCCATCCTTCTTATCGCTTCTTCTAAACTATCAGGACTTAGTAACAATAGCTTATCTCTCATAGATTCTTTGTTATTAGTAGGACAAATAGATGTCAAGGTACGCTATGCACATTTTTTTATTTCATCGTTGCCAAGTTTTCCGTTTAACGTCTCTTATATTAACCTATATATTCTTATCGAATGTAGTTAAAAAAATAGATTACGACTCTTGTAACGCAATTTGTAAGTGATTTTATAGAGTGCACATGAATACACAATAAAATATAATGGGAGTGTTGTAACATAAATCTTTAAGAGAAAAGTTTTACAAAATGATAAGTTTATCATCACTTGGTTGGAAAATGATTACAAATGTTTTTTAAGTCTGTGTAAATTGACATAAACAACGCTATAAATATGTTTGCTAATAGGAATTTAATTCTTTACATGAATAACTATCTTTTAATAACATATCCCCATTTTCAGTGCACTAAGCGTATAACTTATTATTCTGTTAAGTATATTTATTTTATAATATTATGTATAAAAAATTGTAATATCATTGTATACTCCTAAGCTGTTTAATTCCGAAATTTTCAAAATAATCATTTAAAATTGCTCTCAAGAATCCAGTAATTTGTTAAAATTTTTTAACTACCACCATTATTTAAATATGTCAACATGAAAAATTATTTCTAACAAATTCTGTTTTCATTAGATTTCATATGTTACTCAGTCGAATATAATAATATTTATTATATGAAAAATGTAATTAAAATTTTGAAAAAATTATTCTAAAATAATATTAAACTCCTGTTTATCATAGTATGGTGGCCTAATCGTATAGCCTGTAATATTAAAAATAATAAAATGATTCTAACATATTAAGCCAAATTGAAATAATTTGATATTTTAAAATTAATTATCTCAAAAATCTCTCGTATCTACATCGTTAAATTTACTAATTTTATACTAGAATATATTGACTAGTATTAGATTAATGTTTTTAAGTTAGGCCTCTAAGTTTCTGTAATTGTTGCTAGATAATTGGAATTTTACATTGAACAATTTTCCACAATTTCTCAAAAATTTATCTTTCTGTAATAAGAATGAATTAATGTAAATTCATCAAAAGAATTATAACTGCTGTCAGCAATTTAATGATAAATTGTATCTTAGTTTCAGTTTTATTAATGTATTTATAATGACTGTAGATGAGATTAGATCTCTAACGTTTAGATTTGTATTCGAATAGAATTTTTCATTTTCATTCTTTCCATCTTTTTTAATTTCTTTGTATAGTAAAATATAGAGCGTGTTTACATTAATTTATAATCTTTATTTGTAATTTTTTCAACTTATTCGAAAACATTCATTATGCATAAAATCGATTCTTAAAAAAAAATTTAAAAAATCTTAGATTCGTTTTATATATGCAATCCATTTGTCATAGATTTACATTTATTCTCATTAGATCCCGTATGACATTTCGTGTTTACAAGCATTAATTCAATGTGTCACACAGCTTAAAAATAAGAAATATTATATATATCAATCAAAAATGTGCTGTAAAAATGCCAATTAATTTTTCTAAACAAAATTTATTTTCAGAAGGAATTATTAAGTAAGTGAAAATTAGAAAAATATCTCGAAACATATACGAAAAATTAATTAGCATTAAATTGTTTAGATTTGTTATTAATTTATACAATATTTTAAAGTAGTTTTGAGGAAATAATAAAGCAAAATTAATAAATGTCACGGTTTAAGCTGAAGAAAAAAAAACCTAACGAACAATTAATTTTTTGTACAAGAAAAAATTAATTAAATATATAATTCATAATGGCTTTTCTTCTGATGTCAACCCTGAAGAGATATTCTGTCGATCCTATAGGCTATAGTTTGTTTTATATTTATGTGTGTTTTTTTTAATACATATATTTATTACATGTCAAGATGTTACCAAATGATTAATAAAATTTCAATCTAGGCATTACAAAAGAATCGCTTTGAAATAAATTTAATTGATTACATTAATTATTTTCTTGGTGAAGATTTTCTATTCACCATGTTAGTTGTAATATCGTAATATACTTTTAACAAAGGACTAAAAGTTATTAACTTATATATTGAGGCTATATAACTTGGATTGTTTTAATATGTAGAATTTATGGCAATGAGATACAAAAATGGAACTCGTTGAAATGATTCATAGTTGTTTCATTGAAGAATTCGAAACAGAATAGAGTTACATTTTACTCATCTGGATATAATTCCATCATTCAATTCAATTCTTTCATGTTATTCAGTATGACAACCATCGTCATAAATGTCACTTTCTACTAAAAGTGACACTCTCACGAAGTGACGTTCGTGATGATACTATCAAGGTATGAACGAATCCAGATATTTATAAAACATAAATCATACTGAGTTACAGATAAGAATAGAATAGTTTCCTTCGAAGTCGTTTAGCTACATAAGTATAGACTGTGTATCACAATATATATCATTTTTGAACAATTTCAATGCATTTTCTTTCAGATATTTCAAGATTTTCAAGTTTATTTTATGCTTTATTAAAGTTGTATTTAAAAGTTAATAAATAAACTGTTAAAAATATTTTTGAGTATATAATATAAAGTATTTTGATACTAGATCTAGAATATTTAAATTTTTGAAATATTCATTCTAGGTAAATTATTCTAAATATATTTTTTTATAAACTAGATTTTAATTTAATAATATCGACTTTAAAATTTAATAGGAAGTTTATTTGTATTAAACTTTAATAATAAATTGATATGTTACAGTAAAAAAATGATTCTCACGCCTTTGTTTGTTGTTTATACTTAGCTAGATATGGATAACTGTATCAGAGATTAGGTTAACCAATATGTAAATAAAGCAGTTTAAAAAATTATATAGTTCTTAAACTCATCAGTCATTGTCTTTTATAGAACTGGCAGCTAAATGGAAAAGTTAAGAGAGAGAAATAGACTTAATAAGTGAGAGAAAAGGACATCTATCATCTATGCGAAGCATTTCGTGATTCGCCAAGTGTCTCGCAGAACAGAAATTTTCATTAATAACAAAAAGGATCTGTACTTCAAATTTTTCGAAGTTTTTATCTGCCATTTCTTCGTAAAAGTCTATTGAGGATAAACTTAAATATTTCATGCAGCTGTAAATATCGATGGGGAAGAAAATAAGATTTATTTTTCTATAAGTAAGTATTAAACTATATTTCAGACAGTGTAATACATCATTTGAGTTTTTAAATATAGAAAGAGAAAGAGAATTTTTACTTATAGAAGTTTGTAGCAGATGGTTCCGATTTGAAATTACTTTAATGTACAAATATTAAATGAAAAGTTTGATAGAAAATTAATTGAATTCATACTAATCTAATCACACACTCTGATCATCGTTAAGATAACAAGATATAGTTTATAAAAATCTCGTTAAGGGTTTAAGATTACTCTTCATATTGAACATGTACAACAATTATCGATGAAACGCGATCTGCCCATCTGCATACTAATCACGGTTCGAGATATAAAAGATTCGATCTTTCAAAGGCTCCGAGCAATCTATTTTCTTATCCATGCAGATACATTAAAATGTGCAATGATTTATCATAGCTAACGATGCATCTAAGAGTCCTAGGTTGTTTGACAGGCAAACAGGGAACATAAAAGGTCCCTTCATAAATCTCGTCGGTAATAATTCGATATCTGTGAAAAATCATGTTAAGCGAGATCGAAATTGCTGCTACATCTAATTCCTAAATGAGAAAAAGTAATAACTGTTCAAATTAATTAGTTTTTTTCAATAAATTCCGTACTTCCAAGTTCGACACGAGGAGGAATTTAAGATTAACAAATTAGTTTTGTAGACTTCAAAAATGAATGAAGATTCGATAATTCTTTTAGTTTTTGACAGAACGAGTGATTAGACAAATTTGTATGGAGAAACGCTGAAAATAATGTACCGTTCCCAAGAAACGCATGCTGTAAATTTATTAGGAGTGGCAAACTGTTTAGCCTAACACAATTTACATTAAGGTATAACGATGTGTAAACGCCTAAATAATTATGAAAAGAATGGAATATGCCACTCGAAATCATTCATCGTTATGCGAAATCGGACGTTTCCGCATCTTGTTTCGAAATAATCAAATATGATAAAATTTAACTTGTATAATACGGAAGAAAACACTTTAATTGCCGAGTGAAACAAAGAGAAAATGATTTGGCACTTTCGCATATACCGTCACGATACATCATTGTTAATTGCTGGGACTTTGGACTCGCTAAACGCAGTGTAATTTTCATGGTGAAGAGGTGCCGGGTTAAAAATAATGAGAGGTACACACGCTCATTGCACATAACGTGTAATCAATTGACGGGAAAAGTTTGCTAGAGCAACCAAGTCACGCGATTGGATTACGAAAGCGTGTTCATACCTTTATCTTTTGGTAACTTGTTCAATGTTCATTTGCACGCCAGACTAGTTTCGAACCTTTTGATAAAATAAATGGCTTGTTAGCCTGTTAAAGAGAAGAACTCCTTCCAGAAAACACGATTTTTTTCCTCTCTCTCTCTCTCTCTCTCTCACTTAATTTATTTCTATCTAAAATTATGTTTCAAGCAATTAAGAATAATTTTTATTCTTATTCCAACAGGCCTGTTGCCTGGGAATATTCAGTTTCACGAACTTACTATTTTAACTTCTCTTTTATAAACAGAATTTTTTAAATATAATTTTTTTCATAGGTGAATACTGTATTAACTTGTAAGCTACGAACAGAAATTTGTATCATGCCTATAATTAATGAATTACTAATTAATAAACTCTTCTTAATAAATTAATTTATTTAATTTGGTATGGTAGAATAATTGCTATTTTAATTTCACTTACGTAACGTATTTGAATAATCAGTTCACTCGTAATTAATTAATTTAAGAGATAAAAGAATTTTTTCTATTGTTTAACAGTCATTAAGTAAAAAACAAAAGCAGCTATACATTTTTATACCAACCAAAAATTATAGACTATCTTTGTCAGAAGAAATTTAATGAATATCAAAGATTTATGATACTTGTTAGACTATAATAAATGTAATTATAGAATATAAATTATAGAAATGGATTTATTCTATACATTATTTTGTTTCTGTTTTCATACAATCTATACTTAGACATACGTTATAATTTAGATAATTCTGTGAAAATATAGTTAGGAGACATTACAGTTTCTTAATGGCGACTACATATCGCATTATCTATGAATTTAATGATAGAAAGTTGAAATAATGTTTAAACTCTCATAATCAAATAATAATAGACGATTTTTTTAATCTCTTAATGGTCTTTTATGAAATTTTCGCCGTTTTTAACACTGTTAATGCAAAATAATTGGTAAATGGTCGTAAGAAACTAGTTTTCTCTTTATAAAATATAGAGCTGATTACGAATTGATTGGTTTTCAAATAAGAACATTTGCGGATAAGCTAATATGTATTTTTTATTTATTAGTATGCGTTTTATATTTCAAATCATTAAATAAATATACCAATTTAAAACTTTATTAATAATGGTTATACTCATGAATTATGGCTCCTTTTTGATAAATGAGAATTTGCAAGTAAAAGAATAATATGATATATTTCGTAATCAAAATAATAATTTAATCAGTTTTAAATATCTTGAATATAAATATTTTTTTGAAATAACTTATAGGCTTGTAATTGAATTAACTGCTTTCATAATCAGTGTACCGAACGAAACTCCCGAAAGATTTACAATTGAATTTGAATACGGACCTTACGAAGGTCATTTGGGACGAGAGGTATTTAGACAACATCAAAACAAATATTGTTTTTGGTTTATGAGATCGATAACATGACGTATTATCGTCGTATTTTGTCCAGAAATCGCAACTGGTCACCAAATGTCAATAACTGTTTGCTCAACAGTTTCACATGAAGTTAAACACAAAATTACTTTTATAAATATATTTCATACTTTCTATTTAATTCAATTTTTTGAAAAATATAAAAAAGATATTTTATTTCTAAATTCTTTCTCTTTTCAAAGTATTCCCAATTATCAAAAGCAACTAGTTTCGAAAAGAATTTGTTCCAATAACATTTCTCGCTTGGTATTTTCTGGAGAATTCGATGCTTGGATGCTAGAGTGATTTTGAATGTCTAGATCTTTCTGAAGAGTTTAAATCTTCCTAACATTTTTTTAAAAATAAAAATGGAAAATATTATAGCACGCATCAATTCTCTTTTGCTTTTTATTCCTTAAAAAAACACTTTTAGAAGGGTATAAACTGTTTTAGATGATTATTTTACTCAAATTTATATCTAATTTATCCTAATTTGATTGACATAAATTGCACTCGCTATATACTAGCCTCAGTGAAAATTCGTCCGAAACTGTCAGGTTCTTCCACTTTCTATCTCCGTTTTCGACATATCAGAAATTTCTCGCATAAGATTTTAACAATTTCAATATAATTTTTTTCGTTTTCAAGCAAACAATATTTTTATTTCTTTATTTTAAAAGTTATATTTTGAATTTTAATATGATTTTTAAAATTTTATGAAGTTATGATTTAAAATTCACAACCTTATCAAATATTTTCAGCTCCTGTTTTAAATAATAATAAAATCATAAAGTTCGGATATGAATCCATCTTTGTTTGCCATATTTCCTGAAATTAATTTTAAATAATGAAAAGCCTGTAACACTATAAAATATTTAGAAATTTTTAAAGTAAAGTTTCATTGTTTATTAATGAGACAGAATTTATTCATTTCTACTTAATAATTAATATATTTTAAGTTTTTAATCATCTGACTTGATTACTCTTTCCTAACGATAATTAATAATTTAAATTTAATTTATGCATTTATTTGTTAAAGTATTCCCTTTATAATTATCTCTTGTGTTTTTTGAACAAACAGTACAAATTATTAAACTAAATATTTATCGCGAAAATAGATTGTACAGAAATTTAAATTCACCGTTTCACGAAACTATTTAAGATTTTAAAAGGCCAATAAACAATATTGAAAATTTTACTGTTGTCAAATGTAATTTTCAAAGATTGATCGTTTTAATAGGATTAGTTAAGCAAGATTTGTTAGCTACAAACTAATGTTGCGGATGAGAGAATACGATTTTCCAATATAAACTCATTTAAATGTTACTTACAGTTTTAACTCAAAAATATTTGAATGTATAATTTAGTAATTTTTTTCTTTGTTATATGAAATTCAAAGATTTCTTAAGCATTTTTTAATCTACTCTTAACTATTGAAAGTAACAAAATAATTTCATTAAGAAAATTTATCAAACGATTTTATTATTATGCAATTTAATAAATATTCGTTCTATTCATCCATTTTTAAATATTTGTTCATAAACTATATAAACATTGAATTTTTAACACCTAATGTTATAAGAAAGTATGCAAAACAATCATTTTATAATTCAAAAATAAATAAAATGAATCGACCACTTTTTCATCTATGATCATCTTTTAACTACCATTAATAACATTTTAGAAACATATTTTTAAATGCCTGAAGAAAAATTTATTTTTCTTCTGAGATTAAATATTTTTTTCCTATCTTATTAAATGAATAAATATATGAAGCAATTTATTCATCTTGCTGTTACTTTTCAGATGTGTATATATATCAGCTGTAATTTTAAAACGGTATCCCTTAATATAGGATATCAGATATGGTTATAAATGTTATCTTTCGAATGAAAATAATAATAATAATAGAAAATTTCCCGATTGCCATTTTAGCCGACGACCCATCTGAAACGGGAGGAAAGAGAAAATACATATTTCCGGACTATCTCTTATAGACAGGGGTGGTCCGACAGATCCGATATCAGGCTGAGAGCGTTGTTCGAAGATTGAAGAGATAAATAAGGTGCTTACCAGTGTAATTCGACTTGATCCAAACGAACAGGAACCGCCAACGTGTGACGAAAGTCAGGATGTGTCAGATTGCTTCGTTTGAGCGAGTGACATTAAGTAAACAAACGTCTTGGTAGGTAAAATGACAGTGTTTTTATATCCGTTATCAATGATAGAATCCATCCCAAATTCACATTTTGCTATACAAACATTCTTTAACATCACCACTTAAGTTTTATTCGCTTCATTTATAGATTTTCTTGATTTATGTAGTATGGATTTAATTTATTTTTTTC